AATTGTTTTAAACTATATTCTTAAATTGAATTCTATTCAAGTAAAAAGCAAAAAAAAACAAAAAAAAGAACTCACTATGGTAACAATTGTTATCTGTTACTATTTATCTGGTAGCCATCGTCATGTATTATCATTATTATTATTATTACTATTATTATTATTATTATTATTATCAATCAGTCCCCCATTTAATAGTTATATAAAGAGTGAAGGAGAAAGTAGTGTCATTATTCTATTCTGTCAATACATATTAACATCTTATAATAGAGAAGACTGTAGGACATATTTCTTTTTTCTTCAAATTTCATTGGGTTCATAGTTTCCAATGTTTAAATTTCAAGGTTTATAATTAAATTACCGGTTCCTTTTTAGATTACCCATAAAATTCTTTATTCAACTAGTAAGTTTTGAATGTTTTTTTTATTTTCTATTTTATTTAATGTTTAAAATTTATTGTTTCGTATTTGTAATTTGATAAATAATTACTTACTTGTGTACGCCTGTTTGATTCTTGTGAAAGAGCATAGGATGTCCACTAACATACTTCATCTAAGTTGATCCTCAACAAACTTTTCCAATTCTTTTCACTTGTTATTCACCCTACCTATATCTGCTGACAAATCTTAGTGTAGTATGTGTTCTTTGGTCTTTCACTTTTCTGTTTCTATATAGGATTCTAAGTTAGGATTTACCTTGTGATATAGTTTGATGATTTCCTTAATGTATGTCCGATTCACTTTCAATGTCTCTTCTTAATTTTTTTCTTCAGATGGAAGGTGGTTTGTTCTCTCTTATATTAGATTGTTCCTGATGGCATTCGGTAAAAATAGATTGAGTATCTTGTGTAGGTAATTGTTTAGAAATACTTGTACATTTTTGATGATGCCTGCAGTAGTTCTTAACGTTTCATCTCCAAACTATAGAACTGTCTTGACGTTCGTATTGATGATTCTGACTTTCATATTGTTTGAGAGTTGTTTTGAGTTGTATCTGATGTTCAATTGTAGGAATGCTGTCCTTGATTTGCCAATATTTGCCTTTACACTTGTATCAGATCATCCTTATTTATCGATGACGAATTGTACTTTAGTCTTATAAATTTCAAAAGTCTTTATCTAATTCATCGTCTTTGACAAGATCGTTATCATCATTATAGGTTTGTGGAGATTGTTGAGTTTAAATTGATATCATGAACGAACTGAAAGTCCTGGATTTCAGTCCCACATATGGAATCGTTAATGCGCACTGTCACTAAGGAGTCCCATATTAGGACAAAATGGTTGTCGAGTGCTTCCAGGTTTTTAATGGTGGTCTAACGTGAATCCATTCATAATGTTAATTTAAACTCGTTTTCATTAACTAATGAAAAGATTAACGTTTAAGAATGAAGCACACTAATCTACCTAATGATTCTACTGTATTTTATACAGATTGAAGGATACGATGAAAACAGTTGATTAAACAGAAATGAACACTACAGTTACTTACTTACTTACGCCTGTTACCCCTCGTCGAGGAGCATAGGCCGCTAACCAGCATTCTCCATCCAACACTACAATGGAAACAATAAATGATGAACACTTTTTTATCGTCTGACATTTAAATGTTCATAAAATGATTTATTTTTTTCATAAGACGGAATGTGGACATTGATAAACATGAATTCGATTTAAAAATCACAGAAATCCTAAGTAGTAAAATCACTAATGTACTTATTCTTGTTACCCCTCGTGTAGGAGCATATGCCGCCCAATAGCATTCTCCATTCAACTCTGTCCTGGACAATTCTTTCTAGTTGCTTCCATTTGTTATTCATCATTTTCATGTCAGGTGGTCGTATGAAGTATTTATACAATTAGTAATCAATCTATATCATGAACTAGTATGAGCTGAAAAAGTTTAAAACCACAGAAAGCTGAAGAGTTATCCTGTCCACGTTTGTTGCTATTCAGCGGTGCGCACAAAAATACACTCAAACCCATATAAAAGTTAACCAAGAACTTTCACATACTTCAGAAAAAATTATTGGTTTTACCCACTACATTAAGTTTCTCTAGTTCACGTCGTTAACCTCAATCAAGTACTTTCAGGTATTCAAAGGTAGTCTAAAGTTGATTAGTTCATGATCTCAATTCAAACTCAACAATCTTTACAACCACATACAGATAACAGTATTGCTAATGTTAATAATAATAATAATATTACTTTGATTAGTTAATCCTTGCATATGCAAACGTGATGGCGTTTGAAGTGAACGGTACTGAGTTCAAGTCCCAGAGTGAGCACCAACTCTGAGATGCAAATATATCCAGCTGACCAGTCCCAAATATGACGACACGCGCATCAAACTGAACTTTACTGCTAGCCATTATCCATCTTTGTTTAAAATGATAATCACTGTTCAAAAATATTTTTACACATGGGTTTTGACTATTCATTAGTAGAACAGTTGCAAAATGAGAATTTCATTGCCATTTTGCACTTATTAATATTATTATTAATGTAATATGTGGATACCAGTGCTATCCTGTTTAAAACATTTATTCCACTCTATTAAAAAGATTTTCAGTTCAGGAAGGTTCATGAAGATCATTGAATTTCTCACTGTTGACAATCAAAGAAATTAGAAATTTCAACCGCTGGTTATAAATTAAGTGATTATTAACCGTGAGGTTGTATACTCTTTGGTATTATATTTTACATGGTCCTTTTCATATCAAAATACAATTATTCCATTATTCTAGAGGTTAAGCGCTTGAGCGCGAGACTGATAAGTCCTGAGTTCGAATCTCGGGAGGTAAGATCTTGAATACGCACTTCCACTGAGGAGTCCCATACTAGGACGAAACCGTCGTCCAATGCTTCCAGATTTTCCATGGTGATCTATCTTCAATCGACTCATGATTTCAACTATAATATTCTAATTTAATAAACACTTTGAAAAGTATGAAAAGTCAATCATTGAATAAATCGCTTGAATATTTACCTTGAATTGTTCTTTACATATTCCACCATTATCTATTTTTATTCCTGTTCTCTTTAGTTCAATATTTTATTGGTAAACATTCGATATCCGATTCTTGCTACATACTACTTATATCTGTTCGCATAAGTAGCACATAACACAAATAAATCAACTATTAACAAAACAAAATAAGAAAATAATTATTCAGCTTCAACAAATGTTATATTCAAATCCGTTGGTATAATTATTTAGTTTTGTTTTAATGAACTATTTGTTTTCTCTTTCTTTGAATCAAACTTTATATGAAAATGGATGGATCGTAGATAGAAGTCTTATTTAGGACATGTCGATTAGATCTGCTTACATTCGATTGTTTGTATTCACATTAGGATTCGAATCCAATGCCTTTCTTTTCATACAATAAAAATGTTAACCAATGAGTTATGGAGTCAAACTAGTGATGAAATGAATGACAAATAAATTTTTTTTGTTATTTCTCAATGAGTAGAGAAATTGTACTCCTGACATTTCGTGACTTATTATAAGCCACTTCGTCAGTGTCTACAAAATAACCGAGATAAATTCCTTTGTACTATTTAAACTTTTATTAATTTTATGTTGGTTATTTGGTTACTTTGAAGAAGTGGCTTACATTAAGTTATGAAACGTCAGAAATACGGTTTTTCTCGTCCTTTAAACCATCAAGTTTAACCTTGGGACTGATATCTACAGTCATGAAATCCTTTAACGAAAACTGAACAAGATTCAGTTTTGAATATTAATAACTGGAAAATTCAAAATCTTACGAATAATTATATAGATATCATACCCTTTAAACAAGCTTACTTTTATTTTTTTATTCATTTAAACACATAAATATTGGTATAAGAGGACACCAGAAACATATGAGCCGCACAAATCAAATGAGATTTATGTGAGGGCTATAAAACTGCCCGTGTGCTCAGACCGAAGCAGGTGGTTTTCTAAAGGTTGACACACCTTCGACCTAAAGATGCGATCCACAAAGGAGTGGAGCATCGTAAGGAGATGTAGTCCCATGGTAGTCGGTGACCAACGATTGATTCATACGCTATTTGTTCCCTCATGATCGTGGAGCCCATGTACACCATTGGTTTGGAGTGAGGGTTTTCCAACTCCCCTAGGTGGATCCTCCATATCCAGCAACCTGGTTAAAGCGTCGGACATTCGCTTTTCTTCCTCTCAATTACGTAAACAACAGTGATGCCACGAGAATGCAGTGAGTAGGACTTCCCTGGTAGAAGCTATACACGCGTAGCCATGTGAAAGGATTTGGAGAGGGAGAGCGAACTCTCCACACTCTCGGACGTACCAGGGCACTTGGGGGATTAAGCTAGTGCCTTGCGAAACTCAGTAGCTTAATGAATGATGTATTCGCGTTTGAAGTGTAAAGTATTCTATTGGTGTCCGATATAAGCATCAACATGTATACAAGTATATTGAGATAACAAGTTTCAGAAACGTAACTATTTGGTTCCATTTACTAGCTATAATCAATCTATTCTATAAAGCGTTGTACAAAATAACTGTATAGAACTATTTCACACAGGATACATATATTTCAACTAATACTGATAGGAAATTCAATCCTGAATGTCAACAATGAAATCATTCAAACCATTTATTGATAATGATGTTAATATATCCCGACGAGAATAATCACTGATCTTGTATAAGTGCTGTTTTCTATTTTGTAATGCGATTTAGTCCATTTAGTTTGTATATAAACCCAGTATGTTTGAAATACATAATTCATATCGTGAAGGCTGAGATTGATATTCTGAACTCAACAGACAGGATTAAGTAGGAAGTTATGACCGACATAGACTCTAGACTGCTCTTAGGGGTTCATTCATCATTGGTCCGGTCGGTAAGTCAGCTTTTCTATAATTGGCGGTATCATTACGTTTTATAACAATAGGGTACAAAGCCACAAGTTATAACAGATGTACACCTACTTATTTTTGTCTTCTTGATGTATGTCTTTTTTTAGAAAATGACGTCTAAAAAGTCAGATAAACAATTCATGTTATCCGAGAATGAATTCAATCAAATGGCATATGATAATACAGCATTAATGAATACACAATATATTGATGAAATAGATAATAAGAATGAAATTCAATCCACGAAATCTCAACCAACAAAATCAAATCAAGTTTTACAAAATGCTGATCCAGATCGTTATAGTTGTTGGAATCGTTTTACACGATGTATTCGTGGTAAGTTAGTTATTGTGATGATGATAATAATAATAATAGGAGTGGCGTTAGACAGGTAGATAGAGAGATAGATGAAGTTTCCTCTTAAATAAGGTAGCATTCAGATTGATAGTTGAATAGAAATTATACAAAAGTATAGGATAAACGATTCTTAGGAATAAAAGAAATATAACTTATTACGACAATCTAGTGGAATGTATGGCAATAATCCAAACTATACATTATCATTAAGTAGTATGTGGTAGTATCAATATTCTACAAAATGTGAAACTCTGTAAAGATTTATTCACGTATTGTTGTTTACTTGTATCCCCCCATTGTTATTTTGGAATGCAATTGATCAGTCTCTTGTTGGCATATGTACATCGTAGGCGAACTGCCTCGATGTTGCCTTGAAGTCATAAGCTTTATAAGCAAAGATGGAAGATGAGAAAAATACAAGTAAACAACAACAAGTGAATTTAAAACTTCACCCCATTGCACAAGCAGGTTGCTATCATGATTCAATAGCTAAGTGGATGACGAGATGGCGTTTGAAGCAAACGGTACTGGTTTCGAGTCCCAGGGTGAACATCAACTCAGATACAGGTACATCCAGCTGAAGAGTCTCAAATAGGATGAAACGCGTGTCAAACTGGATTCCACTGCTAGCCATTATCCATCTTTGCTTATAAAGTCTGTAAAGATTTACTTAGGTTTATTATTTTTTTTCCGAGGAAGGGTGTTGGTTTAACCTAACTATATTTCGATTAATTAAAAGTTACCATGAGACTCTTAAGGGTCATATTAGCATTACTCAGAATTGGTGGGAGAGTATATATTTATTACCTGGTATTATCAACAATCATAAATCAATAATGATAATATTTATTCCATACAGGAAACTGATTACTTTCTTTTAATGAGAAATTAGCTTGTATAATTGCTGTTTATAAATTAGTAACGCATTCTATGTCTGCAATACTGCATGAAATCGCTTTCGATTCCTGATAGACGTTACTCACTGCTATGGATTCCTATATTAGAACTAAACAGATGTCTAATGCTTCCAGGTTTTTCAATGATCGGCTCATGATCAAAATAAATTGATCTATAAAATTTAACTTAAACAAGGAGAGAAAACTATTCATGAACAACATTACATACAATTAACATTATTATTTGGGGATAATTAAAAACCTCGTTGTTCCACAGTTATATACCAAATAATTTGATTGGAAAGACCTTTTGATTTATCGAGCATGGTAAATTTGATTGAAAATATTATAAAGTTAAATTCATGAATCGATTGGAGCTATATAACCATGGAAAACCTGGAAGTACTGGACGGTCGTTTCGTCCTAATATGGGACTCCTCAGTGACAGTGCGCACCCACGATCCTGCCCCGCGAGATTCGAACCCAGAACCTATTGATCAAGCACGCGAACGATTAACCTCTAGACCACTGAGCCAGTATCCAACGGTGTTAACACCGTTCAGTACTTCCAGGCTTTTTATGATGGTCTAGCTTCAATTGACTAATGAATTCGACTATAAAATTACTAAGATCTCCACAAAACCCCCTTCTGAAAATATTTACATTAATCAAGCGTCAAGTAGTTGCTAACGTCATGTTTAACAAATCTCTAGTCTTAATTGAATTCTATCTATTAAGCAATTGTGATTTATTTACTAATGTAAATGACTTGAAATTAATGGAATTACATTTCGATGTCAGATGGTTAGAGGTATTTCGTCAGGAAATTCTCCTTGAATTGATTTTTGTGTCGATCATTACCTATCAGCCAAGTGATTAATATTTTCTGATCAATTTGAACGTTGATTACACAGATAACCAGTTTGAGGTGTTGCCAACCCCTAATGTCCCAACTAACAAAGTTTCCTAGTGATCATCTGTAACTACTGAACTCCACAGATTATACAATTTCAGAATAATGTCAATGAAAATATAGATTTTATGCTAGACTATAATATGATAGACTTATGTAATCGATGCCTATATATTAACATGTTAAATACTAATTTCACGTTTCTATATCTCACTAGGTGCATGGGCAACAAGATTAACTGAGGATACAATGAGTAATAGAGAATTATATATACATACAACATTGAGAGAATTAGTGATTTATATATTTTTCCTTATTACACTAATGATTGGTAAGTGATATCAATAATTATTATCAGAAAGGGTTTATTGTGGAGATTTCAGTATTTTCATAGTTGAAAGCATGAGTCATTTGAAGCTAGACCACCAAAGAAAACTTGGAAGCACTAGACGGCCGTTTCGTCCTATTGTGGGACTCCTCAGCAGTGAGCACAGTCCCACAATGGGACGAAACGGCCATCCAGTGCTTCCAGGTTTTCCTTGGTGGTCTAGCATCAATTAACTAATGCTTTCAACTATGAAAATAATTATTACTGATTATGTTGATGAGACTATAGTTTTTGGTTAAGCTTTGTGTAACTCTAGAATGATCATGAGAACATTCACCTATTTACTACGGTTAAAAAGGGTTATGAATTAGTATGAGGAATTAGGATTAATATCTGGAGATAAAAATTAAAGTTAAGAATGATACTAAGAGTTTTCATTATAGTCTTGCCATTCTATCCGAAATTTGTAGAGAATTGTCTAGTTTAAACTTTGAACTGTTAGTTCTTGATTTTTCTAGGAGAAAAATTCTAACTCATCAACAAACTAATATGCATAGTGATATATCTTGCTAATTGAACACTATACTCGGATCCTAAGCTAGTCTCGTAACCGTCAAGCTAAATCTACACAGCAACTTGAACACGAGAGAAAAGGCGTAAAATATGCGAGAAGCACTTTGCTCCAAAGGTTCATTTATGTACAGAAAATATAGGGTTTTTTATAGTATTTAAGAAGTTCTTAGGTTTTCCTGAAAATCCTAGAATACAACTAAACATAATAACAGTGTAGTAATCAGCCAATCCGAAACTCTACATGTGACTTTTCACTTTCGTGATGTTTTTGGCAAAACGTCTAGTCAACACTGATTGGATAAAATGGTTCTTAATGTTTCCTAAGTCTTTCTTGTCTATTGCGAGAAATTTTCTGGATCACCCCAACACATAGATCACGAATGTTTATAGAGGTAGCTGATATAGCTTATCGTTTACATACATACAAACTAGTGAATATGTTGAGTTATGCATTATGATATGGAGAGTCAATCAGAAGTAGGAAAAGGTTAACCGATGACAATCAGAAGTGACCCAAAGATCAATTGCACTTTATTGGGGTCAATGAGTAAATTTCCTAAGGATAGAGTTGTATATATATGAGTGAGTATTTGTGCATTTCCTACAGTAGCTCAATACATATTCTCACTTGCTCTTGTGTTCTCGCTCGAGAAGTCAGTTGAGGGGTTAGCGCATAACACATTTTGTATCAGCATCAGATTTCGGACACCGCACATCGCAATGTGTCCTTTTTAATTTTTTTTATCATTACATACTCCTGAATAAAGATAGGAAATTGGTCCAAGAAATTGCTGACTACTGTGCCTTGTCAATCATGTCAATCATTTCAGTCTTTATGTTCTAATAGCTGGTTAGAGATTTTTGGTGGTGTGGTCCAATTCACTATTCATCTTCTAATGAATCTTCAGGATCCTTTTAAGATTCATAAATCAAAACAAAATAGGTATCTAATACTCTTTGGTTTTCACAGATTTAGTCTTAGAAATCGATTCCAAACTAATGATATATCGAACTCATGGACTTATTCTTTGATTTCAATGTTTATCTTAAATCATTCTACACAAGCATTAAGAATCAATCAATTCTAGAAAACAATGTAAACCAAGCTATGTATTTTCTCGTTTTTTGGACTCGTTGAATAAGTTTATCATCATCCATGTTAGTGTTCGCATTATGAATCCAAACCATTATCCATTATAGTACTGCATCCATTTAGCCGCTAACTTGCTCATTATACAGAATCTTTTTAATTATGATAATAATCATTGATAACTCTATAAATGGTTCCGTCGTTAATTCAAGGCGTATTAAGTAATTAGACTAAAAATAGTTGAAATAATGAGTCAATTGAAGCTGGACCACCATGGAAAACCTGGAAGCACTGGACGGCCGTTTCGTCCTATCGCGAGACTACTCAGCAGTGCGCATTCACTATCTCGCCTCTTGAGATTCCAATTCAGGACATACCAGTCTCACGCCAGAGCACTTAACCGATAGACCACCGAGCCGGCATCCAACAGTGTTAATGTCTAATTTCAACCAGTCTACGAAGTTACGCAACCATTCACCAATGTCTTCAGTGAGTTGATATCTCTCAACAGACCTGGTTGGACTCCACTGGTTACTGCATCTCACTGGAACGCCAAAAAATACCTAATGGATCAAGTCCATTGTGAGCATATGATAAGTAGGTTCTTTATGGAGATGCCGGATAAGTGGCCTCCAGGTTAAGTGCACGCATATGAGACTGGTAGATCCTGTGTTCGAATCCCGCAAGGAGGGAGCATGGATGCGCACTGCTGGTGAGTCAGAAAATGGGAAGAAACGACCGCACAGTGCTTCCAGGTTTTCCATGGTGTTCTAGCTTCAATTGAACCATGAATACAACTAAATATCAAAATTACTAAAACTCTCCACAAATAACCCGCAATCAGACTATAGTCGAAAGTATTTATTGATTTGTAAATGATGTCGAGGCGAGAATGATAATGATTGGCTGTTTTGCTAAGTCAGACATGTAGACAGTCTGACAGGTGTCAGATCTCGATATATATTCCCCTATCCAGATTACTTATTATTATTAATGATTAACTGTCCTTTGTTGTTGGGTTGTGTCGGATATCGGTGTGGAAATATATTGACGTTCTAGTCAGGTTGATCTCGTATCCTTGATCTGAGTCGTGTATTGAAGTCCTGTAGAATAGACACTGGGACGGAATCTAGTGTAGATATTCGTCTAAGGTAAATGAACGTCCAGCATACGTGTAAA